TCTCTCTCTAAGGGAAATAATGAGAAATAATAATAGAATATATTCTTGCTACTATTGCAATAAAAAAAATTGTTTTTTAAATATTACATGCATTAAATATAATTACAGGAAGTTAAAATAATAAAATTGATAATAGTATATGATAGTATAATAGTATAACAGTCATTAAAAATGTTATTAAAAAAAGTTTTATGAAATGAAATTTTTATCATTTGGAAGACTGAATTGGGTTATTTAGGAATGGTTATTTAGGAAGGGGCAAGGAATAATAGAGTATTTTAGGAAAGAAAAGAATCATGAAATTCATTGGATGTAACATAGGATTTCACTTTTTACATATATATATATATATGTACTTATACATGATCACATTATAATTTGTGAAAAAATTTATACAGAATAAGCAGAAAGTGAAAAGTGAAAAATTTTGCTCAAAATTACATGATCAATACTGTAATTACTTTGATTAATATATCCGAATAATAATATGTAATAAACAATTAGATACACAATTTGTAACTTTTAGGACGTTATTATTCAACGAGGAGGACCTGATTTGCCATCGCCTGATGAGGATTGTTCCTCACCTGTACTTAGATCTTTTCAAAGAAGTGGAAATGATGTCACTTCTGGTATTACTTGGAAAAGTATGTATGCCGCATTTCCAACTGACTATAACATAGTTGGTTGTATTAGCTCCCGAGGAAAATCTTTGGAAAGCTTAGAAGATGCGCCTCTTGGCTTTCCTCCATCACCAGCGCCAGTGTCGCATCCACAACCTCTCGATTGGCGTCCACGTAGTTTTGAAGATGGTGATCTTACACCTACAAACGATGCTTCCGTTATAGATGCTGGTGGTGGTACTCTTCCACGACCAAGACATTGCCTTGTTCGTCCACGACCTGTAGCTAAGGTATTTAATTATTTTAGATGTACGAATGTCTAAATGAAAACAAAAATACATAGGCGAGGAAAATTTCTGTGCTGATTTAACAATTTCAATTTAAACCACATTAGCCCTTTAATAGTAAAATAAAGTAAACGTACCAATTTCTGAATAATTTAAAAAAACAGTTAGTTAATATATAATCGATTTAAAATTCTAAAAGAAATCTATTTTAACAATGTTAATGAAACATTGTTGTAATTATTTATGAAATTATCTTGGAAAATGTTAATAATCAGTCTGTTGGTTCGAAAACAATTCGCGAAATAAAAAGCACAATTTTTTATAATATATATTAATTTTATTTTATTTGTATTACAAAGATTTTTAATAAATATTACAATAAAACGAACTAGTTTTTCTCTGTTCGAGTCGGGCGTGTTTATCTCGAGCGCGGAATAGCTGCCGGTCGCAATGGATTCAGTTAATTAAAATAATTATTGAGAGAGAGATTTATATATATTAACAACTGAGATTTATTATAACAAAAAAGAAACAATATAACAACTGCTTAACACAATATTCGTTAGATCATACCGATGCATTGAAATAGCTGTCATAATATAATTCTCTCGCGGAGATTGCGCCGGAGCGCGGTAGTTAGACGGGAGACGGATGTATAATTATGAGCGTGATATTCGCGCGCGATTTTCGGCTATCGGTGGGGCGGTCGCGAGTTGTCGCACGCGTTGTCGCCTAGCGATGGGCGGTCGTAAATCACGCTGACTTGCCTAATTCGCGAGAAGGCGGACTCTTCGGTGATTCGCTTACGGATGAACGTAGGTATTAGATATATTTCGCACGGTGCGTAAAAATGGCTGGTATCCAGAAGGATGTCGGAGGTATAATACCAAACTACGTTAAAATTTATGAGAATAGTTCTCGTAAATTTTAGTAGTTTGGCATTAAAACTTTTTTTCGTATTATATCTGATTTATTTTTAATTTCTATGTATTTTTATCATAATTAGTTATAGTTAGATGGAGTTATTACATAAAAAATTGTAGAATTTTTTTCACTAGAGAAAGTATTTTCACCATGGTTATAATGAAATTTCGTAATGTAGTCGAAAGAGCTGATCAAAGTGCACAAAATCCAATCAATTTACGACATAGCTTGTTTTGAATATGACTTTGATTTTGATTGTAAAACATATATATATATATATAAAAATACACACACACACACACACACACACACACACACACATACACACATGTCATTTCAGGTTACAGCAACACCTGGGACAATATAAATCTCTGCCACGAGACCTGGATAATAAATATCTAATTAACATACGGATTGGAAAGTAGTCCACATCTTCCAAAACGATGTCCTCCATCACCTCCAAGACGACAGAGTTCTAGAGACACAACTGGTTCTTCCATTGTAGGCGTTAGTGGCACTGCAGTCGGTGATATCGTGATAGACTGCAGCGGGCCAGTGCCAACCGCTTCATGTGATGATCGTCACATTCATCAGCATCATCATCAACATCATTTGCTTCATCGTCTGTCGCCACAACCACTGGCGCCCACGCCGGCACCTTCCACACCATCACAATTAAATCAGCCATCTTCTTCCATGTCACGTTCGTGGGGTAACGTCAATGTTAATATTAACGAAGAACATGAACTAATTGCATCTCTCGCCCTGCAGCATCGTAATGGATCAGATGCTAGTTTTAAAGTATGTTTATCTCAAGAATTTCTAATCTATGCACTTAATCTTTATAGTGTAATATAAGCATGTTATATATAATTCCTACATATCTTTATTCTATTTAAATATTTACATTCAAATTTAATTTATACATTAAAAATTTACATAATATAAATATACAAAATATCATAATTCGCAGGTTACTTAGTAAGACGCGAATTTTCACATAAGTCTTACAATTATTTTGTGTTTACAATTATCAATATTATCTTAGGATCGAACCAGAGAGAGAGAGAGAGAGAGAGAGAGAGAGAGAGAGAGAGAGAGAGAGAGAGAGAGAGAGAGAGAGAGAGAGAGAGAGAGAGAGAGAGAGAGAGAGAGGAGAGAGACGAGAGAGAGAGAGAGAGAGAGAGAGAGAGAGAGAGAGAGAGAGAGAGAGAGAGAGAGAGTGTCTGTTGTAAAACTATTACTTTGAACTTGTATTAAGCTTGTATTAAGCTATTGAACTGCTCTACCTTATGATGAATTTCTGTATTTATTAGGACTTATCTAGAATTTTTGATTTAATAATTTGGTTAAATAATTTTATCAGAAAGAAGACATTCCATATCTGTGAATAAGGAAAACTTTGAGCATACGTGTCCGATGATTTCAGGAAAATTCCGAGTAATGGTATATGTCCGATTACGAACTTTTTATAAGCAGATAAAACGCGTTAAACTGCATAGAAAAGCAGTGTGATTTTGTAATTTTTCTAATTTTGTGATTTTTGCATGTTTATTCGAGGATCTTTATCTTAATTATTTTTTTATTAATCATTGCGAAAATTGCAAAATGATACAAGATTTGTTTATTTAAGTTTATCTATTTTATCTGTCATGAAAGATGATCTGCGAATTATGAAATACACTTACAAGAAAACACAATCAGCATCCTCCGATTTTAATGAGCTTCGAATATGTTAAAGTACAGACAAAAATAAGAGACATATATTTTTTTTACCTGCGCTTTTGCAAATCCAATTTTTTCTAAGTAAATATTGTCCAAACTGTTAAAGATATGAAAGAAATTTTAAACAAAAGTTTTACGATTGCAAGCGCACTTTACAACGGCGCATTCGAATTTTTCAAAAATGTTTTATTTTTTAGCACACTCTCACCCCCTTATCTTTAATTTTCAAAAATTTTTAAATAAAACAAAATTAAAATTTGCTGAAAACAACGATATATAAGGAGATCATTTTCCAAAAATGCATTTTTGAGAAATAAGTGAGAAATACTTCTAATATATGCGCTCCATACATATTTGTTTTATACGGAGCGGTTTCCTTAATATGCGAGTACGCAAATAAAAAAAAAATATGTGTTTCTTTGTTAGAAGACAGTTGATTATTTCATTATTTACAATCGTACTTTTCCATAATTTCATCTGAGTTGCAACATTATAATATTAAATATTTGTTTTTAATAACATATACTTTATATATATATATATATTATTTTTTTTTATTTTTATATTTATAGTCAAGTTCCAGTACAGAATCAGATTCATTACCATTTGCCAATGAGAATGCTGGCACAATAAAGCAAAGGACTGGTCGACCACAAGAATATACGGCTGGTCCTAATACTAATATCATCAGCGATCATATAATCAATCATCATTCTGATGATGGTGAACCTGCGGATGTTTTGAATGACATTGGGAATATGCTTGCCAATCTGACAGATGAACTTGATGCGATGCTCGAAGAAGAGAAACGCCAGGGCCTGAACTCATAATCGTTACTGCCTTTGTTTGCACTTTTCTAATTGACTAATGTTACCATAGAAAAGCAAGCTCGATGGCTTTGATGCATAAATATACTTTAAAATAAATAAATATACTCTAAAATAGATATACCTTATTAGTGTAACGTATATAATTAGGTAAGTGGATATAACTTACGACAGAATAAATTGATATAAATTGTATTGAGATTCGAACATCTTAAATTCTAAAATTTTTAAAAATACATATTTACCGATACAAGTAAACTTATATTTTTATTGCAAAAAATTGAATCTTTAATTCTAAAAAGCGACATATTTTATCACTATAAATTAATGATAATATTTTGTTTGCAATAAAAAGATGCATAATATATATTTGAATGTATTTTTGCCTAATTTATGCTTTGATAATTTTTGCATTTTTTTTTAGAAGAGTTTACTTTTGCATAAAAATATTGAATGTTCCAGTCAATTTTTCAAACTACAGCTATAGTATTGCATATATAATATTGTACTTAATTTTTTTTATTTTTTTTTTTTTT